CTTCATCCTGAAGCAATATTACTATGATAAAATGGTTAGCAAAAAATAAGTGAATATGGAAGTTTTTTAAAAACAGAACGTTAATCAATAGCAAGTGTTTCGTTTACTTCGAAGTTGTTATTCAGTCTAAGGCTGAGCTGATATACTTTGTAAAACCGGGAAGACCTATAATTGAATATAAATAGAGTCAACGCACTTATACCATGAAACATAATCAAAGAAGTAATAACCATTCATTTTTATTTACTGACTAATTTTATCTAATAGAGTACAAACACTAAATGTGCGCAACAATTTCCACTATTTACTTCAAAATAGTGTTAATTAAACAATAGAAAACAATGGAATTAGCATAATTTAGCAGTATTTAGTGGTATTTATATGTTTCACAGTTTTAATGTTTGTACTCTATTTGTCGTCGGTACTGAAATAGACATTAATAGTTACTGTTTATTTTGATCATATTTCATGGTACAAGTTCATTGACTGAGGTCATTTAACCCTGAAATTGTTGTCATGGAATTAGAGCGTACTATTTGGCTTAGTGCACTGCAAGATCTATTTCATGGTTATTTTTCACTCTAGTCAAAAGAAACCAATTCACTACAAATTAGTTCTATTTTTTACTAATCTCTTTTTATAGTTTATAGTTTTCGCAGTCTACAATATTGAGCTTACCACTGAACAGATGTGATGTGCTTCTTCTGTGGACTAAAGCGGCTTTGGAATGGAAAAAGCATCACTCCTCAGTAGCGAAAATTGTCGTATTATCGTGCTGAAAATTCTTGAATTTAGTCAATGAATCATTCATCTGAGGTCATATGGCATGAAAAGAAGAACATCTCGCACAAACGTTTTTTTTTGTACTAACTAACGAATTAAAAATTCTTGTTACTGCGTCCGTCCAATATCAATCAAAACTAGAAGTATCTGCGTGAATTCGGACTTCTTTGGAATAGATCTATGAAAAAATTAATTACCGATACATATTGTACTGTGCATGATCAGAAAATGATTTCATTTCTACCAGTATTGTAAATGTAACAAAACAGGCTTAATACCATATTTGAGCTAGTAGGGAACGGTCACTAAAATTAGACAACGGAAAGGGTGAAAATAAACGGCAGAACTTTTTCAATGGATTCTTAAGCCGATCAGCTATTTTTTTGTAAGACAAATAAAACTGATAAAATCTTAATGTCAAAAGTTAAGAGCCACAGAAGCTTTTATAGATTTAATTGTAATTGTATAGAGTTATTTAATAAATAAACTGTTGTTGTTGCTGACACAACATCAAACAACTTACAGTAATACGCATCGATGGAGCAGATGAACACTGATAAAAAAAGATAAATGTTACATTAGATTGAGACACTATTCCACAAGCACAGGCACAAGTCAACATGGATACAACCGGACAAAAAGACAAGAAGTGAAATTCATCATGTATTTATCAACAAGCGTTCTAGGAACTAGTAAAT